TCCAAGCCATCCAATAACCATATGAAAAAATTCTCAGGGAAGAGTTCTATGAACTGATACAGAAATGAAGTGAGCAGAACCAGGAGAACAATTTATATGATAAGAAAACATTATAAGACAAATTTGATAGATTTAAGAACTCTTACCAATACAATAACTAATCAGGATTTGAGGAGTGATTAACTATGCTACTCATCTATTGACAAAGGCTATGGATTAAAGATGCAGAATGAAACACACACTTTTGGACATTAATAACATTGGATTTTGCTTGACTATCAATATTTGACATAAGGGTTTTGTCTTTCTTTTAAATGGGGAAGGGGAAGAGAAAATAAATACTTGTTAATTAAAAAATTAAATTAAATTAAAGATAAAAAAATCAGATATGAATAAAAGAATTATTGTATAGCAGTGAGGACCCAGTTGAGATAAGATAGCATAAATGTGCAGTGTACTCTATTAGCACTAGCACTCTGCTACTTAGGGATGTTGAGAAGAGTGTAAAGTAAGAGTGAGTCTTCCAATGTTGGAGATTACCAGAGTGGGAACAGGGGAAAGTCACAGGGAAAGGGACTGTACTGTTGACCGTAGACTGTAAGAGAAGGGAACTGAAGTCAGGAATGATGGGCTGGGAAAATGTGGATGAATGGAGGGACCATTAGTTAGAATAAAGAATACATTCCCTAGCAGAACGTGCACTTTTAGAGGAAAGGGGACTTTTTTTTCTTAGAATATTTTTTGTCTTTTTCTCCAGAGCCTAACATAGCACTTCACATACAGTAAACGTCACCTAATTGATGTTTGTTGAATTAAATTAACAAAGAAGACAGTCATTGAGAAAAGTGAGAAAATGTCCTGGTGATTAATAGATGGCAGCACCAAGAACTGGGGGTGTAATTAGATGACGGAAACTTCAAAGGAAGACAGGTCGTTAGTTGATCCTAGCATAATACAAACTCCTTGAGGAACTCATTTTTTTCTCCATTTTCCTGACAAACTCGGAATCACTTCAACCTTTTAATGTCCCCAGAAATTCTCTAAAGACTCATGAGCAAAATCCCCTACATTGACAAAATCACAGATCTTCATCATCCACCACACTCATTTGGCACAATATCTTGTACGCATAGGTGCTTAATAAATATTCACTGAATCAAAAGGTGTCTCAAAAGGACAATTAGGTGAATATTCATTAAGTACATGTTTTGTATTAAGCATTGTGTTAGAGAGACAAAGATATAAACTAAATTTGTCTTTTTATTTCTTTTATGTGGTTTCCACCCATTAGCCTTGGCTCTGTATTCTGAGGCCAAATAGAACAAAGCTAGTCCTTCTTTCACATGATCATTTTTCAAAAACTTGAAGATAGGTATCATGTCTTCCCGGAATCTTCTCTTCTACAGACTAAATGTGTCTAGTTTCTTCAACTTATCTACAGAAGATATGGACTCAAGACTAAGTTGACTTTTTGTCCTGTTTTTAAAGAGATAAAGAAGGAAAAACATACATTAGAAAAGGTATCAAGGGATGTAGTATGGGGAAGGGGGCAAGAAAGGGGAAAGGCATATTTCAATTAATGTGAGGACACTGAAGGAGTGAAAGTTAAAAAAAGAAAAAGAGATTAAGGATGAACAGTTTGTTCATAATAAAGTAGTTTCTAAAGGGTCATCGCCTAGGAAATTATTGTAGATCCCTGAGGTTGTCAGCCCAGTGCAACATCAGAAAGGGACTGAAAGTAGAAAATGTTACCCAAGCCTTAAGTAAAATCATGAAGTGCAGCATACCTAGAATATCATGTATAGTTCTGATCATTATGCTAGAGGAAAGACAACTAAAATGTACAGAAGGGATAATTCAATAAACATTTACTAAGTATTTATTATTATGTGCAAGGTACTGTGGATAAAAATAAAAACAAAAAACAAAAATCAAACAGCTCCTGCCCTCAAAAAACATCCATCCTACTGAGGAACTAGAGAAAGGAAAGAGTCAACTATATGAATATAGAATTCCCTGTTGACATTCTTTGAATTTGATCTTTTTGCAATGTTTCTCACTTCCAATATTGATGAGAAAATTTCTTTTATGCTTTCATATTCTATCCTTTTCTTCACAGTTGTCTAGAAGTTGGATGTCTTAAATTTCTTCTCCTTGCTAAGTCCTCTGGGTCTATCATTTTTCTCTACATTTCTTCCAAACATTTCTCCAGTTAAGCAATTTTCTGGGTTTGCTTTTTTGCTTCTACTCTTTTTTTCTGCTAGTCCAGCCTCTAGTAAAAATAATTCTACTTTTCATTGAATCCAGTGTAATATGTTATATTCTCCAGAGGAATTTCCAAATTTTTTAGTCTCAACAACATTTTGTCCTGAGATTCTTTAGTTAGGTTCAGTTCACTCTTTATTTTCAGCACTTTCTCTTTTTTTTCGAATTTCTTCTTTTTTTTTTTTTCATTTAATTTCTTCAGCATCCTTCACCATCCCCATCATTTCCAACTAGAATGTAAGAGATGACCAGGCCTCATTAGAATGGCCATGCAAGAAGAGTGATAGGCGTTCATGCCACTGGGATGGGTTACTAAGAGTTACCAAGTACAATCTTTTTATTGAGATAGAGGACCACCAGGCCTTACAATCTGCCCTGAAACAGCATCCTAAAGTCCTCTGGACCTTGCCATCTGACTTGCTGCTACACTTTCAAAAACCCTGGGCTTTGTTATCTACCCTGCAACTGAACTCTCTTATATGTCCTACCTCTCCCAATTAGAGTGTAAGATCCTTGAGAGTAGGGACTGTCTCATTTTTCTATCTGTATCCCTACTACTTAGCATAATGCTTGGCATATAGTAAGTGCTCAATATATGTTTCATTCATTCATTCATTTTATTATATCTGGAGAAGAGTTTAGCTTTCTGATGCAACTGAATTTCTATGTACTTTTCTTTTTGTATTTTTTCTTTCTTTCCTTTAACCCATTTGACTTTTCATTATTTTGAGACTCTTCTTAAGTTTGGTCATTGCCTGACTGATTTTTAAAATTTTCTTTTAAGCCTATTTAGAAGTTTTGCTTTTTCTTCTAAATTTCTATTGCTATTTAAGAATGAGAACTTTGAAGATGGCTCCCTCATAACCTCTCATGGTACCATCTTCACAGAAGACCTATGGCATGGAAGAGGGATTGATTTTACTGCTGCTTGATTCCAGAAGGCAGAATAAGTTGGAAATTGCAAAAAGGTGACTTTAGACTTGATATGAGGAAAAACTTCCTAACACAGGTATCCAAAAGTAAAATGGGCTGTCCCAGGATGTAGTAGATTCCTCTTCACTGGATATCTTCAAGCAATGCCTGTAAAACCATTTGGCAGAGATGTGTTCTTCAAGTATAAGTTACCCAAGACGGCCTCTGAGGCCCCTTTCCAACTCCAAAATTCTATGATTCTGTAGCAGTTTTCTGCCTGAGACAATAAAGGCTAGAGGAAACCTGATCAATGGCTATAAGATCATATGTCACCTAAATAAGCTGACCATGGACTATTCATCAAACCTTCAAATTCTAGGATGAAAAAGACCTCTCTTTGAAATTTGAGATGAGTTAATGTTAGGACAAATATCACCACCATCATCATTTTAAAACATTATAACTCAGATTTGTATTTTACAGTTTTCAGAACATTTCATATACATTTCCCCATTTATCCTACTTTACATAAAATTATGGAATTCATTAGATTAAGGTATGGGACAAAAAGGAATATGAACAAATTTTAAAATAGTTTGGATAGAAAGGACCCACTTAGGCTCTATCATTCATATAAGAATATCTAGCACATAACTAATCATACCATTTTTCAGAACACTGCTTGATGCTGCTGCTGGCAAGAGAACATTAGTTTAATTGGATTATGGATCTGACCCAATAGGGTGATTCCTAGAACTCCCATAAAATAGGAAAAATGATGAAACAGTGACTTGAATGACACAGTGTGAGCTTTTTACTGAGTAGACACATAATTTAGGAAGACAGTCCAGAGTGTGAGACAAAAGAAAAGAGGCTCAGGAAAAGTGAAGTATGGATAAATGAGGTATGGGAATAGAGATGCATTCAAAGGATTCATGTAGGGGATGGAGGACGAAACAGGTTGGAGGCTAAGTGATAATGAAAGATCAGCTGGGGGTCATTTGTCAGGTTTCTTCAAACATTAAATTAATGTGCTGGAGAAAAAGGAAGGACTCAGAAGGTGCTGTCAAGGATGCAGCTGTTAATGACCTTGCTATGCAGTTATAATTGCCTCTCCTTCTTCTGTTCTGTGTCCAAAGTCCTAAGCATCTCACAGTAAAGTCCAATCCATAAGAGTTTCCCCAGGAACACAAACACCACAAGCGAACACAAATATAATAGATGCATTATTTGGAAAGCCTTACTACTCTATCAGGTTTCACCTGACTGTCCTCCTATCAACACTCTCAGCTGTACAGCCATAGTGAAAGGGCCATTTTAGGAACCAATTGCCCAGAGGTGTGAAGTCT